CACCTTCAACCATGATGATGGTGGCTGGATCATTTCACATGAAAGACAAAAGCCCTAAAAGTATGGGCTTATGATCACCCATGAGTGCATCAACAAATGGGAGTAGCTTTGCATGAATATCATGACATGGCAACCCTAGTGCATGGAATTTTCCATGCTTTCTTGGGTCTCAAAGCATTTTGGGAAAGTAAAACAAACAAAAAGTAACCAAAAAGAAGTTATAAGTGGTAACATGTCACACACAATTGGAAAGAATAAAGATAACCAAGGTGTTATTTACAACACAAAAGCCATTCCATGAATTGACATATGCTTTGCAAGGAAGGATCTAAAGGTTCCATGAATTTGTTGTGCTATGAGTAAATATGTTTTAGGTGTGGGATTTTTAGATATATGGTAAAGTTGTCTAATGTATGAGAAAATAAAAAGTTTAGCCAACAAACCCTAATAATCAAATTGGGTGTTGGGGCCCCTCTTAATTTTTAGGCATCTCTTTTGATCCACAACCCTCAATGAGAATTTTTCTCTAGCAAGTTGAATAGTGATAACTCATGAAACAAACCATGTGAGTGGGGGATACCTATCTTTAAATCCAAAAAGAGCAGTTTGCTTGTGCTAGTCCAAAAGTCAAAGCATCAAATCCGAAAGATCAAAAAAGTCCCATACTTTTATAAAAGAAAAACTATGTTCAAATTAATTATGCATTGTAGCCTTAGTTTTGAGTATACAGTAAAATATATAAGATGGCACTCCCCTGTCTTGGTCCAATCTATCTTTGGAGATAAATACGCAGGAACTATCATCATCGTTCATTATTCTGCCAAGTCATTTAGGGTATAGTGTATATTAAATTAAGAAATATAAATACACAAGCTCTCAAACAAAATCTTTCTGAATATATTTACAAACAAAATGCAGAATTATGTAAGATAATAATATTGCCCCTGCACACTTCTATTAATATATGTACACATCTTAGTAATTTTTTCTACATCTATATTCTGACATGTGATTAATCAAAAAATATTCTGACGTGTATAATTATAAGTAATGAGGGTTGAGCTTAAAATTTCATGCAAATTAAATTATCTAAATTTTCATTATAGCTTAATGGGTTGTATCTATATATATTTTGATTTTGTCACATTTATGAGGTAATTATAAGTAACCTGTTTTGTATAAATGTGCACTTGGTATTAAGAGTTTAATAAAGATTTTATCCCATCATTATCTAATTAGAAAACACTTTAGGTGTGATCTTTAAAATAATTATAACAAAAGTTAACAATCTTGTCAACTATTACAATTTATAATGCAATGATCATGAGTAGTTTTACATTTTCAGTGATCAAATTCAAGCATTATTTGAGAAAATATATAATCTCTAATTTTTTCATATAATATGTAAACTTTATACGTCTTACTATGAAAAAAAAAAACGACATTTTGATGTTTCATTCATAGTAAAGTAGTTTTTCTTTCAAATTTTTTAACGGCCATAAGTAGTATCTCTTTGGTACAGAAAGAGTGAGATTTGATTGCATCGATTCAGGATTAGAGCTGGCTTCTAAGCTCAATCAGCACTTGCATAAACATTATAAATAACTCAGATTCATCGATTGAAATATATAAAAACATTTTAACTGAATTTTATCCATGTATTTTTGCCTTAACTATAAAATATAATTTGTTTTATTTTTAAGTAAAAAAACATTAACAAAAATAGTTTTATTGTTTTTCAAAATTACAAAAGAACATTCTATGCATTGCGCAAGGTGCTTTTATATTTTGGAAGATAAATAAAATAAAACAGTATATAACTCGGATAGGTTAAAAATGTTGCGGATTTCTTTTTTAGGTTTCTGCCTCTTGCTGAAACATTTTTGCAGAGATTATCATATATATCCAAATTCAGTTTGTTGTGGCTGTAGCCATATACAAAGAAGGAAACTAAAATGCTCTTGAATGTTGCTTAAAATAGTTAATAGATATATACAAGTTAGTGGATGACACAATGCTTGGAATTGGGTCATCTCAAATACTAGTTATCCAATGCTTACATAGAAAGTAATATAACTAACTCAATGAAATACAAGAAGTTGTTGTGATATATTGGCAATGCATATTCTAGAATGACATTTAGGTTAAGCGAAATAGCTTTCATATAAAGCACTTTAACTTGAGATCGAATTAGTCCATTTATTCATCTAACAAGTTGTCCTCTTAATAATTTGTTTATGATCATCAACATATATACTTTTTGAAAGAAAAAGAAAAAAGGAATATCTATCATTAAAATTGGTCCAGCTCTCCAATATATATATCTTGGCTCGGATATCAATGTTTATATCTCTAAATTAAATGCCAACAAGAAATATTATATTTTACTCAGGAGCTTATCTTGAATGGCCTCTTAAAAATGGGATAAAGACCTACAGAGGAGTTTTGGGGTTATGAAATTCTTTATCTATTTTGGCTCGCAATTGTGTTGCATTTGCACTTATTTTTTGTGATTTTCCATTTCAATAAGCATGATATAATGGTTGTTTTGTGTTAGGTTGCTGAATTCATAAGTTTTCTGGTGGCCCATGTTTCATGGGCTCGTGGCCCTCTAGGCTTTAGTCCAGTTAAAGCCCAATGATGATATTTTTAAGCGGATATTCTAGAAGCAATCCCTCTATTTGTCCTTTGGGCCTTGGACCCCAAATTTACTATAATCACTGGTGTTCAAGACTTCAGTGTGTTCAAAGAACAAAAATTCAAATCGTTTAGAAGAAACAAAAAACGATATTAAATTCGGGCTGCGAACTTATGATCGCGTGTTAGGATTGCATTGCACTTTATGTGTGAAGATTAATTACTTGATTAGTTGAAGAAGAACAACTAATAAACAGATTCTAATAATTAATTGCCGCGTGAAGCCGGCCATCGTCAACAATTTAGACTCCAAACCTAAGCCATTGTCAGTTTCAAAATCTCTGCAAAAATCTTCGGTTCATATGAGATTTGTATCAAACTTAATTCTATAAAATAGTTTAGAAGAACAAAATTTATCTTTATCAATATATCTCATTTTCATATCATTGGTAATGGTTTAAACTCTTAAAAGACTTCTTATTAATTGAGATATTTATGTTTATAAATTCGTGTTGTTACTCATAGTTTAACAATATGAGATTTTGATTGTATTTTAATAAACTCCAACAACAATTATTAAGAAAAGTTTTTATATTATTTTAAGAAAATAAATTTAAAATCTAACCCATTTCTATAAAATTAACATGTATATAAAAATTATTTTTTATTTATATATTTTGTTGATATTATAACATTGATGCGGATCTCAATATTATAACTTAACTAGAGGAAAGTAATGTGTACCACCTCTATTTATTGTAAGAAAAAAAACATTTTTTTATTTTTAAATATAAATAAATTTAAACTACTTTTGTCATGACCTTTCATTTATAATAATACTTTTTTATGAGATTTATAACGAAGATAATTTTTAAAAAAATATTATGCGAATAGTAAAGAAAATTACTTTTTTAATGTACGTAAAATCATTTTTTTAAACTATTATTATTATTTATTTTTATAATAGCCGATAAAGGGAGAATAAATTTGGGATCAGACAAACGGAAAGAATGTTTCTACTACTAATCTCTCGGCTTTTCCGAAAAGAAGATCTAAATTCTGTGATTTTTCCAAAGAAAAACTACCTTTTTCAATTTAAACTATACTTGAATTTATTTATAAAACTTATATTAAGTTTTCTTTATAATAAAAGTGAAAAAAAAAACATTATTAAAATGTGTGTTAGTGCTTTTTTCATGCTAAAAATATTAATTTTAGAAGAAACAAAAAAAAGCAGTATCATAATCTTCGACATATATGTTTTTAAAGAGACAAACTGTAAGATTTTATTTGTGCAAAAGGGTGATTAATTGAACTATGTATTGGCATTGCTCTTAGCTCCAACATACATCCAAATAAGGGTCATAAATGTATATAATAAAAAAAACACGGTTTTTATAGATTAAAACAAATGCCATTGGAGCTAACGAGGAATTCAAAGACAAGGAATACAGAGTCTTCCTTAATAGTTTTGCATATAAAAGGGGTTTCTGTTGAAACACAAGAATGTAAGAATAGGGTTGGAGGCAAAGAAGTAAACATGGTTACCAAAGCTGTGGCCAACTCAATGCTTTTTCTGAGGATTGTTGCTCTTGCAGCCTCAGTAGTAACTGTGACCTTACTAGTTACTTACAAGGTCAAATTTGATGATGGAACAAAGCTCAGTTTTCGAGATTTCAATTCATACTGGTAAGATGTTGAGCCACCAATCTAGCATTGATGATTATGTTACTAAATTTAATTATCAATTAATTCTTTGACTTTTTATGTATTTAATGACTTTATATTATGTTATTTTATGGAGAAAGTGCAGGAATTAATTTGTGCAAGAGAAAATGAGTGAGTGAAAGTGACCTTAATTATTAGATGATATGTCTCATTGGTGTGATGTTTATGTGAAAAGTGCAGGTATGAGTTGGTGGTTGCAGCAATTGGTGGTGCATATTGTATAGTGCAGCTACCATTTGCCATATACTATGCTGTACATCAAAAGAGGTTGATACGCAATGGATCCTTGCCAGACTTTGACTTCTTTGGAGACAAGGTCCTACCATTTTATCGCTAATCATGATCAAATCTTGTACATTATATAAACTCATAAAAGTTTTGTACACATAAATTAAAAATTATGGTATCTGAAAATTATGAATTTATACATGTGAATTAAGAATCAATAATGAAGGTGTATGAAATTGCAGGTGATTTGTGTGCTTCTAGCTACAGGAGTTGGTGTTGGGTTTGCAGTGTCTTTGGAATTTAAAATGTTCTTCGATGGCATATTTGACTCTGTGGGTACCGCAAAGAATGACGCTACAAGGTCCGCATATGACAAGTTTTTTGATCGAGTAATTGTGGCTTCTGCTATTCTCCTTGTTGCATGCCTTTCCATGATAATCGTTTCAGTCATTTCCTCCATTAATCGAAGCCAAAGCAAAGGCGTTTTTAGTTAAATAATTTCATTTTTTCATCAACAAATCAGTTAAAACAATTGAGGTAACTCAGCTTCTAATAAAGCTAGTTATGGGTTGTAGACTTGTGGTCTTCACCAAGCTCAAAGCATTATTTGTCTTAAAGTATAAATTCGACATCATACAACATTTTGTATTCAATAATCATCTGTAAAAGTGCCTTTTATTTATTATATTATATCGATTATTTCGAGTATTGTGTATTTTGTGTTTCTCACTTTTCATTCTAACAACAAAATTAATATATATATATATATATATATATATATATA